AACAAGTAAAAATACAACACACACATGACAACCAATTAAAAACAAACTAAAATATAAAAATCAAAACGAAAAATCAAAAGCTAACCTAAAAAAAAATGAGTTTTTAAGTAAGATTTAAAAATACTTAGGTTCTGTGCATCTCTAATTTGTAGAGGGAGTGCATTCCAAAGCCTAGGAGCGTAGGAAGAGAAAGCCCTGTCACCTACAGAGCGCAACCAAGCTTGTGAGGACCGTAAATGACGGTTGGGTGTATATAAAGTTAAAAGTGCAGACAGATATTGAGGGGCCAGACCATGCAGTGCCTTATATGTGAGCATAAGGATTTTAAAATCAACTACTTTATTTTTATATAGCGCCTTTAAAACAGTTTCTCAAGGTGCTTTACATAATAAAACAAACAAGTAAAAATACAACACACACATGACAACCAATTAAAAACAAACTAAAATATAAAAATCAAAACGAAAAATCAAAAGCTAACCTAAAAAAAAATGAGTTTTTAAGTAAGATTTAAAAATACTTAGGTTCTGTGCATCTCTAATTTGTAGAGGGAGTGCATTCCAAAGCCTAGGAGCGTAGGAAGAGAAAGCCCTGTCACCTACAGAGCGCAACCAAGCTTGTGAGGACCGTAAATGACGGTTGGGTGTATATAAAGTTAAAAGTGCAGACAGATATTGAGGGGCCAGACCATGCAGTGCCTTATATGTGAGCATAAGGATTTTAAAATCAACTCGGAACCTGACCGGGAGAATTGGTGTAATATGCTCATTTTTCCTAGCATCAGTCAGGATCCTAGCAGCTGAGTTTTGCACACATTGCAATTTGTTAAGTGTGATTTTAGGAACCCCAACAAGAAGTGCATTGCAGTAGTCAATGCGAGAAAAAAACAAAGGTATTAATAAGCCTTTCAGTCACAGAGAGACTGTTATATTTAAAAATTAAAAATGAGTATTAAATAAAAATACAATTATTTTATAGTACACTTAAAAAATACAATGCTAATATTTACATTTTAATTTTTTTAATATGCATTTTCAACATTTTCAAAGCTAAAATCAAGCTTTTATTCCTATTGGGTTGCCGGCAAATAAGTATGTGCACTGCCAGTTTTAACGCTGCAAAGTGAAGCACGTCATTGAATGAAATGTTTTGCTCTGAAACCAGCAGTGTGTAGCCTAGATTTATGCTTTCAGTTTGAATGGAAATCTAGTATAACAGTTAGCTGATCTAAAACGGTGATCGTGCATTAACAGCTGTCAACCATGTTGGTATGCAAATGAGCGGTCTGAACTTATTTACCAAGCACATTTTTTATTTTGTTGCACATGCACACTTGTGCACCACTTATGTGCACCCCTGGTTATAAATAAAAACAAAATATAAATGTATTTTTTTTTTGTCATTTAACTTTTTTTTTTTTTGAACCTGTTTCACCCACAAACATAGAATACACAAACACAGACATTACCAAAACTGAACATCCAGAGATGTTTGTGTTTTGTAAACATACATACATACTGGAGGCTGTATGTATGTATGTTTACAAAACATACATAAATATATATTACCATGTGGTAAGTTAGTTAATCAGTTAATAAGTTTTACTGTAGTATTTCTGCATTCTTTTTCTGTGAAATATTTTTTTTTTCAAGGGTACAGACAGAGAATGAGATTTAAATCTGAATGTGTTGAGCTGAAAAGAGCTATTCATGGCCACGGGAGCAGTGAGAATCAATGACATCTCACTTACTGAATAGATGTATTGATAGACCTAGTGTTCAGCAGCAGGCAGAAAGACACATACGCACACATGCACACTTCATTGTTTCTGGGCACCGGATTCCATGATGAGATGTTCATGATTTCCAAGCATAGGCTTGTCTTGCAGCATTGTTCTTGTGTCTCAGCTCTCAGGACATGCTGACAGGACAGAGGCTGTGTCAGTCCAAATCCCACCAGGACTCTGTCCTCTCTGCCCTTAATCAGCAGCGCAAAGACGGACTGCTCTGCGATGTCACCCTGGTCGCCGGGGAGCAGAAATTCCATGCTCACAAGGCAGTTCTGGCAGCCTGCAGTGATTACTTCCGGGTGAGATTTTACATTCTGGAGGTTCCATCTCATGAAACATGATCAGTGAGAGTGTTTCTTTAGGTTTCTATTCTCTGTATAAAGCTACACTTCTGCAGGTGTGTACTAAAAGAACAGTTCTCCCGAAAATATGTATTTTTGCCATCATGTCATTCCATATCTATGGAAGCCCATTTCTGCCACATAGGAAAGAAATTGTGTTTTTCAAATCATAATTATGACATAAAAAGTCATAATAATAATATACAAAAGTCAGAATTATGACATACTAAGCATAAAAAGTTGAAATGATGAGAAATTATTACAATATAAATTATGAAACAAAAAGAGATTATAAGATATAAAGTCATAGTTGTGACATACAAAAAACAATTATGACGAAAAGTTGAAGTTATTAGATAAGGAATGACTTAAAAGTCTCGCATATGTCATAATTATGACTTAGTATCTCTTAATTCCAACTTGTGATGTCATAATTATGACTTTATTTCGGAATTATGATTAACCAAAATATTATGTTTTTCTTAGGTGGCAGAAAAGGACTTCCATGGATATCCATATTTTTGGAACAGAAAGGGAGATGATAGGCAGAATGTTCACACTGTCTTTTTCCATACAATAAAAGTGAATGGGGACAAGTGCTGCTGAGTTCCAAAAATGACAAAAAAGCACCATAAACATACCACAGAAGTAGTCATTCGACTCGAGTGCAAAATTACAAATCTTCTGAAACCATCCAAAGCTTTGTAGGAGAAAAAGTCAGAAATGTAATGTGTACCTGTAAGTTGTTATACACTAAAAATAATGTGTACATATACATTCAAATATGTACCAAAATGTTTTGTGCCAGGTTTGAAATCACTGAAATTATGGGAGCTGTTACAGCATCATTCCCTTTCAATACTTGGAAAAGAGCAGTGTAAACATGCTGTTAAACATCTCCTTTTGTGCTTCACAGAAGTCATGCGAGTTTGGAACAATGTGATGTGCGTAAACGATGACAGGATTTTCCTTTTTAGCAGTGTAATCCTGATTCAAATATGTACAGTTCACATGGAAGGCAAGACGGGAAATGAAAAGTCGGCAGCGGCCTGGAAACCGTATCAGTGAGATTTGATTTTGGTTTGTTCAGAAGATTACAAAGATGAAATACATCCAGCTCTGCAACTGAGAGAAAGATTATCTTCACAGTTCAAAGACCAGAATTAAATAGGGCAGGTATATTTATCTCTATATGTCTCCTGGGTAGCTCTCCACCTCTGTTGGGCTGGAATGATAAGATTTTATCCTTCTGTTTTTGATTTTAGCCCTTGGTTTCTGATGAGGACACGTGCCTTTGTTAGCAGTCGTGGCTTATGTAAAACATGGACTCATCCAAAGCTTCAGTCAATATAGTTACTGTGTACACAAATCAAAGTAAGCTGTTGGCTCAGTTTGACAGCTACCCTTTGATGTAGTATGCCTGCAAGGTTTGTATTATTCCTGATTTCTATTAAGTGGAACGGTTGAAAAGATTTAAATAGGCAGGCATGCATGAGCATGTGTCTGATGCTCTACTGTGAATACCAAAATGATTTGTGTTAGAAAATTAATCCTAAATCATAAGTATTTCACTTTGGCATACAAGTGGTCCTGCATTGTTCGTGCATGAATTATACCTACAGTTTTAGGGCTTGTTAAGGAGAGATGTGTTATTTGAAACACAAAAAGATGGTGAAACAAACCTTATATGAATGGAAGAAAGCACCCAGAACCATCCTAGAAATGTGTCAGCGAGTTCGTACAGTTAAATACCATCTATATCTATCTATCTATCTATCTATCTACACATTTGCTTGAGCTTTTTGTAATTAAAAAAAGAGTATGTCCATATGCAGTATACACACACACACACACACACACACAAGTAGGCTATACAAGTGTATCTTTAACAATTAATTACATCAGCAACAACAATCACATGACACAAGTAAGTTCAGTGACTCAGATGATGATTCAGTAACCACTCTGGCCGATTAACTTCAGTGAGGGATTCACCAGACTGATTAAAACCAGTAATTAATCTTTTTGAATTATTCATAAAAAAAAAAAAAGTCATTTGAGTAATAAGATTAATTTGTTTGTGAATCAGACTACACTGGTAGTGCTGTATGTTGTTTTTGTCTGTTTTGTTCTTGCCGTTGTTTTTGTGGTGCACTGTATAGACATAAAACTTGCATTCACAGCTCATGTGAAATACGATTGCGTGGTACTGAAGATTCACAGTACAGCAATGCTGGAAACACTGATGTGAGGCATTGAATAAATCTGTATTGTCATATGGTTCAAAAGGCATGCGTTGTAAACTAATTAGCTCACAAAGCTGTTGTCTGACCAGCTGCTCTACTTTTCCAAGGTCAGAAGTCAGCCAGTCAGACATGTGACTCAGGACTGGTCATCCTTAATGCCACAATCCCCTTCCAAAAAACCCTATAAGTCTTGCTTATGGGCAGTGGTGTTTCAGTAAGGAGCTCTCTAAGTAGCGTCAACAAACCAACAACCCTCAGCTCTAATGAGTGCTTTTGAAAGTCTGAATGTGAGCTGAGGTCAGGCATTAAAAAAGTGCTGCTCTTAAAATAGATAATAGAAAAACACGGCAGACTTGTACCAGGCACATCAAATGTGATATTACTACTGGGGAAAAACTTTCTGAAGGTGAGGTGACAAAGAAAAGATGATAAACATTTGACATCTATTTTCAGACTGAGCCAAGACCTGCATTAGATGTCTATTGATTCTTTTAAAGGACTAAGCACCGATACTAATTTTAATCCAGAACCAGGCTTTTTTTTCAAACACTGGATGTTCATCATTAGAAGCATTAGGTTTGATCAGTGGTGTTTGGCAGGTGTAATGATGATCCAATGTCCTTTGACTTCCTCTTCTCCATGGGCTCTGATCAATGACCATCCTACACTCGCTCTGTGACAGCAATCAATGCTTTTGATTAGTGTACTCCTGCCAGAGAACACAGCGGGACAGTGCTGGCCTCTTGCTCTCTTTATTTTGTGTGTGTAAAACTAAAGACCGCACTGATTGATGGCCATGGACTCACTTTCATTTTCAGAATGATACTCTTTAGACTTGAATGAAGAGTTTATTGACGTTTTTATTTTAAAATCTATTTACAGGATGCTGTATTACTCTAGTTCTGTGGTGCATCCTGCTTATAAGTTTGTGTGTGTGTATCTTCAGGCCATGTTCAGTCTGTGCATGGTGGAGAGTGAGGCAGATGAGGTAACTCTCCAGGGTGTGACTAGCGTGGGACTGAAGAACGCACTGGACTTCGCCTACACAGGCCAGGTAAATTCAGCATAGCCCACACAGCTACATAGAGCCTGAACATGCAAAACAAACAAAAATTGACTGCCTCAAGCAAAGACAGGTCTCTAGGTTCTGGAAGGATAACAAATAGGAGCAGATAAGTGAAATACTTGTGAATAATCATATTTATTCTAGAGCTTCACAAATGGGCTTATAAACATCTAATTCTGGTTAAATGTTATTATATGTATATATGTCATATATATGTTACTATACATTTGTAAACTGTGAGCTCATTTTATCCAAGAGATATCGTATTAGATTACTTCAAACTGAACTACACAGTGCGGAGTAAATGCCTCATCTGCATCAGAATGTTATGATTGGCCTAGGGATGGACATATCGATACGGAAGTATCGATATATCCATACTGATATCAGTATTGAAAGTATCGATACTCAAATAAAAAATATCAATACTAAAGTTTTTTTTTTACCAGTGATTTTGTTCATTTACCAAGAAATTTAATGCGTACAATATGCACTGATTTGAACGAATAACATATGTTAGCAAAAATTTGTGTAGGACAGAACTATTTTCCTGCTCATTCTGAACACAGAACTAAACAATCAGAGAGAGTGTTCGCTCACTGCTGACACTGCATTCAAACTGGGCTGCTTTTCCCAAAAGTATCAGTTCAGAACAATTCTTATCAGAGGACAGAAAAACATACAATTTTTGAGTTATTTCACAATAAACAAATTGAAATTGTAACCTATAGTTTGTGCAATTACATTTATTTAAATTGAACGTTAGAAGTTCATATTGATCATGTTCTATTCTGTAACTAATGGTAATATAAATAATACACTGTCAGAATAAAGAGGTTGCATTGTATGGGTGCAATTGGCAGTCTCTTATGATAATGAACCATGGTTTTACTATACAGTGACTGTAGTTCAATAGTATTTGTAGATTTGGTTACCACTACAGTAAACATATTTTAACCATGTATAAACAAAATTATTATCTAATAAGTTGTAATTAAGGCGTTTTAAATGTTAAAATGCTTGTCAAATATAATGTTAAATGGGTATAATTACCTATTTTAGTCTTAATAATTAAATAATTTAATAAATGTAATAATTTAAAAGTTCAGTTTATGGGTATCGATATCGACGATACTGGCCTTTGAAAGTATTGGTATCGTATCGAAAGCAAAATAAGTTGTATTGCCCATCCCTAGATTGGCCCAGAGCCATTACATTTTGTATTTCAACGGCTCTGGATTGGCCTAAAGTAGACGTCTTATGTCAGCTCGTTCTGAACTCGTACATGCTCATACCAGTAATCTTGTGCTGCGTTCACACAGAGCATATTACCGGTAATATACTGGTAATGTTACAGCTTCTCATACCGGTAAATTGCCGGAACAAATTTAACTGTATTTTTGAAAAGGTCCTGTTCACACATGAGCTCTTAACAGTAATTTACTGGTAATTTACCAGTAAAGTCTGTATGTGTGAAAGGGGCTATTGATCAGTAGTGGATCAGAAGTGACAGTAAAGACTTTTAAAATGTTATTTCTATTTCAAATAAATGGTGTTCTTTTGAATGTTCTATTTATAAAAACAAAAAATAAATCCTGCACACTATCCACACTTATGTATCAAATGTATCAAAATATACTTTTATATTGAAATAATTTTAAATAATTTTAAATTGAAATACATTTTTAAATATATTCAAGTTGAAAACTTACTTTAAATTGTTATAGTATTTCTCAGTTGAACTGTTTTTACTGAATTTTTGATCAAATAAATGTACCCTTGTGGAGCATAAGAAACTTATTTCAATAACATTTTAAAAAATCTTACCAGCCACAAACATTTGAATGGAAGTGTAACTGAATTGGATAAATTGAAGTGCTCACTATCCTCTCAGTTAAAATAACTAGTAGTCTGCTTTTTTGCTCCTGGATGCATGTGTGCTTTAGTTGCTCCAGCCTGAATTTTTTTTTCTTTTGCATGATTTGAGCTAACCATCTGTGGTGCAGAGAATGTAACATATTTTGTGGCTTATTTTGATTTAGCTCTTAAGCCTCAATGAGAAGAATTATTTTCTTTTCAATGTTTTTGCCTATTTCATCTTTATTAAAATTAAACTGCATTTGTATGATCATATAATGCACTCTGTACATTAATAATAGTTATTTTAATGGCTTTGCAATCTAATGATCATGAAGTATTTAATATATTTAATATAGTAGTCTGCTATACACATTATTATAGAGCTGGCTTAAAATGCAACACTTAGCCTACTTTTAGAAAATATTTAACACAGGGTCACTTTCTCTTCATCAAGGGGTCATTGGCCTGAAAAAGGCAGAAGACCCCTGATTGCAAGATTGTGTTTTTTTAGGATAGTCTTACTTCGGTCCTTTGTCTGTAGATCATGCTGGAGCCAGGAGTGATACAAGATGTCCTGTCTGCTGGAAGCCACCTTCAGCTGCTGGAACTGCTCAGCCTCTGTTCCCACTATCTCATACAGGTGTGTTTATGAGTAATTTCTGCCCATGTCAGCAGGTACTACATATAATTTCACTGTGTAATCAGATCTTTCTTTTACACCATCATTGTGTTTGTGTTAGATTTTGTTTCTATAAAAGAGCTACTGTATTCCTGCTTCCTGTTCATTTATTAAAGGAATAGCTCTGAAAAAATCTGTCATCATTCATTCACTCTCATGTCATCACCCTCATGCTCTTTTCCATTTGATTACAATGAATGTGTTTATTTGGAGCTTTCAAGCTTCAAAATGACACAAATAACAATAGAATTATCATTAGAGTATATATCATAAGAATATATGATGTTATATTCTCCTGAAGCTTTTGTGTGAAAAATCTTAGTCAGTATTCCTTAATGATTTTGAGCTGATTCTGCAGAATTCCATAGGCTTTCCCCATAAATTAGCCCAGAAAATGTGAAAAAGATCTGCAGCCTTTTCATGGCTCACCACTGCATTTAAAATGTGCTTGTTAATAATTTTAACCAGTAGATGGCAGTCAGTCTCTGTGTGAAGCATTTTTCCTAATCATGAGTCTGTGGAACATCCTGACTGGATTTCTCTCTCCATTGTTTTCTTTTACTTAGAATTTTCAAGGCTACGGTTATGGATATTGTGGACTTTGATGAAATTCAGCTCTCTTAAGCTTCCATCAATCATTTATTTTAACTGTATTATTTACTGTATTACAATATTTAACAACTGTATGTGTGCATTCATGGTGATATCTTATTGTTTGCATTTGTGTGCTCGAGTCAGGGCATGTAAGATTTCATTTTAGACTGTAATGGTCAACTAGTTTGTTCATAGACTTTAGCATGAATAAAACACCCCTTCTGACTGTGAATCTGTCTGTATTTATATCTGTGCCTGAAGGAGCTGAACAGTTTTAACTACCTGGACCTATACAGGCTGGCAGACCTCTTCCACTTACCGGCCCTAGAGGAAGCAGTGGTGGGCTTTCTGGTGGATCACCTCTCTGAGCTGCAGAGGAACAGACAAGAGGAAGTGCTGCTTCTACCTTATCGGCTCCTCAGGGAAGTGCTAAAAAGCGACCGCCTAACCTCCCTTAGTGAAGAGGAGATATGCCAGGTGTGTGGGCCGCAAATTCACAGACTTTAACTCTTCAAAACAGTTATGAAATATTTAAGTTTCTACATCATGTGTAGTTCACTAATGTGAACCTCTTTGTACTGACAGTCGGATGTTCATCCACTGAAGCTCAGGATACTCTTTGGAACATCTTTAACAATGCTAAACAATGTGATCATTAGGTTTTAGACAAACTCGTGGAGCTCTCAGTGCTGCTGTCATTAAACCAAAACAAGGACAATCCATTTTGTAATGGACCCTTTTCACAGACAGTTATGATGCGTTTCCACAGTCATTAACATCGTAAATCTATTTTTTTATATGATAATTTTTAAATCTTTATGTTATATTACCTTGGCTTTAAATTACAGAACACTAGTTATATAAAATTATATTTGTTGTAGTTTCCGTTCACCGCTGTAGAAGTTTACCCAACTATGACAACTTTCACTTCTGAGAACCCTGGAAATTTGAAAAGGGTCCATTAAAGTACAATTTTTAGATCAAGTTTTCACTATAATTTGTAATATATTATAATTTCATACTATATAATAATGTATAATTTAATAATGAACAATTTTGTATTGAATCAGAAAAGAACGTCTCAGACTTTTGGACCCTGTGACATTCTCTATAATGGCTGCCAAACACATAGCGTCGTTTAGTCAATCTGAATGCTTAAAGGGTTAGTTCACCCAAAAATAAAAATTAGCCCATGAATTACTCACCCTCAAGGCATCCTAGGTGTATATGACTTTCTTCTTCAGTAGAACTCCAGTCGGAGTTATATTAAAAATGGTCTTTGATCTTCTAAGCTGTTTAATTGTAGTCAGCGGGTGTTGCAGTTCATCATTCCAAAAGAAGTGAAATAAAGCGCATCCATCCATGATAAAAAGTGCGCAAGATTGTGTTTTTTTAGGATAGTCTTACTTCGGTCCTTTGTCTGTAGATCATGCTGGAGCCAGGAGTGATACAAGATGTCCTGTCTGCTGGAAGCCACCTTCAGCTGCTGGAACTGCTCAGCCTCTGTTCCCACTATCTCATACAGGTGTGTTTATGAGTAATTTCTGCCCATGTCAGCAGGTACTACATATAATTTCACTGTGTAATCAGATCTTTCTTTTACACCATCATTGTGTTTGTGTTAGATTTTGTTTCTATAAAAGAGCTACTGTATTCCTGCTTCCTGTTCATTTATTAAAGGAATAGCTCTGAAAAAATCTGTCATCATTCATTCACTCTCATGTCATCACCCTCATGCTCTTTTCCATTTGATTACAATGAATGTGTTTATTTGGAGCTTTCAAGCTTCAAAATGACACAAATAACAATAGAATTATCATTAGAGTATATATCATAAGAATATATGATGTTATATTCTCCTGAAGCTTTTGTGTGAAAAATCTTAGTCAGTATTCCTTAATGATTTTGAGCTGATTCTGCAGAATTCCATAGGCTTTCCCCATAAATTAGCCCAGAAAATGTGAAAAAGATCTGCAGCCTTTTCATGGCTCACCACTGCATTTAAAATGTGCTTGTTAATAATTTTAACCAGTAGATGGCAGTCAGTCTCTGTGTCAAGCACTTTTCGTCATCATGTGTCTGTGGAACATCCTGATAGGATTTATCTCTCTGTTGTTCTTTCTTTTACTTATAATTTTCCAGGCTACATTTTTGGATATTGTGGACTTTGATGAGATTCAGCTCTGTTGAGCTTCTAATAATCATTTATTATAACTGTAATATATACTGTATTACAACTGTATGTGTGCATTTGTGGTGATATCTTATTTTTATGTTTGTGTGCTTGAATCAGGGCATGTAAGATTTTATTTTAGACTGTAATGCTCAACTAGTTTGTGTTCATAGAGTTAAGCATGAATAAAACCTCTGACCCCCTCTGACTGTGGATCTGTCTGTATTTATATCTGTGCCTGTAGGAGCTGAACAGTTTTAACTACCTGGACCTATACAGGCTGGCAGACCTCTTCCACTTACCGGCCCTAGAGGAAGCAGTGGTGGGCTTTCTGGTGGATCACCTCTCTGAGCTGCAGAGGAACAGACAAGAGGAAGTGCTGCTTCTACCTTATCGGCTCCTCAGGGAAGTGCTAAAAAGCGACCGCCTAACCTCCCTTAGTGGAATCGATGCGTTTTTGTAAGAAAAATAACCATATTTAAAATGTAAAAATCTATTTAATCTAGTTTGCGCTCACTGTTGTAAACGGAAGCAGCTCCAGGCGGATGATGTAGGACATCGGCGTTGTGCATGCGCCACTCAGAAGTGACGAACGTGGAAGTGCAGCGGAGAGATCAAAACAAAACGACGGTCACGAATTGGAAGTACATAACGAAGATTTGTAAAGAAGAATGTCGGAGGATTTTGATATAAGCCAAGAGGAGACTGGTTTTCCTTTGCTAAAGTAAGGAAACTTTGCTTCCTTTGCTCCTGTTAACAAACGTTGGTTTTCACGAGACTCACCGGCGCATGCGCAACGCCGACATCTTACGTCATCCTCCCGGAGCTGCTTCCGTGTACAACTGTTGGCGCAAGCTAGATTAAAGTGATTATTACGTTTTGAATATGGATATTTTTCTTACAAAAACGCATCGATTCGCTACAGGAGGCCTTTGTTCACCCCCCGGAGCCGTGTGAGGCACTTTTTATTATGGATGGATGCGCTTTATTTCACTTTTTTTGGACTGATGAACTGCAACACCCACTGACTGCCATTAAACAGCTTGGAAGATCAAAGACAATTTTTAATATAACTCCGGTTGGAATCATCTGAAGGAAGGAAGTCATATACGCCTAGGATGGCTTGAGGGTGAGTAAATAATGGGCTAATTTTCATTTTTGGGTGAACTATCCCTTTAAGGTCATATTGACAAACACAAACACAAACTCCACCTGTTTAATTTATGGTGTAAGAATGAGAAAAAAATGTGTGCAGACAATGTGTCTGTGTGTATGTACACACGGGCGGAGGCTGTAGTCTGGGGGGGGGGCTGTGGTGTGACTATTCATTTGCACCAATCAGGCATCCCCACCACACCCCCCACCCAGCCTCTCTCTGATTAGGCCCACCGCGGCACCATCAGCGCCTCAATCCCCCAGCTGTCACTCCGGCCGCCCTACTGATTGAAAACAATCAGGCCTCTGATGGCACAATTACCCTGACCCTTTAACCAGTCGCTGCTACCATAATCAGGCCCTGATTAGGCTGCTTTGGGCCTCCTTCACTTTGCAGAGAAGGTTAATTTGGGCATCAGACGGAAGCGTGATGGGCACAGGGGCTGGTGCTGCCGTCCGCTGGTCCGAACGTGCACCCACCAATACTACCCTCGATATAGTTTGGCTGTCAATCATCGTCATGCAGAGTTCTCTGTGTCTCACACTCTGGAAATCACATTTTCTTCCTCTTTGTTATTTATTTTTTTTGTTCTTTTTTCTTCTCTCGCACTCACTCTCTGTCTGTCTTTCTCCGTGCGGGAGTGGGTGGGGGAGTTCATTTATTTTCTGCCCCGAGGAAGTTCTCTGATCCAGTGTGACCTTCACAGTCAACAGACGCTGCCTCGCTCACACCTCACTCTCTCTCTCTCTCTCTCCCTCCCTCTCTCATTTTCCACTCTCACTCATTCTCTTTCTTCTTCCTCGCTTTCTTCTTCTCTTCTGTTGGCTGTGAAAAGGAAGAAGGAGGGTTGAAAAAAACAACTAAAATTCAGAGAAAGGAAGAAAGCGAAACAGAACCTCAATAGAGCGTTACATGATTAATGACGCCGAACAGGAATGGACGGTTTTGCTGAAACCTCTGCACACTTAAATTTAACTGTGTATTTATTTAGGAATGCACACTATTAAGGTACCAACGGTTATCGTCGAGATTACAGACTTTTTAATTTATCAGAATTGTATACCATTGTGTCAATCTTATACTTTACCATACTCAATATATATTGGCCGATATTAGATCTTTAATTGTGCATTCAATTATCACTTCAATTGCTCACTTCAAGTTAATCAATGTTTAAAAACATTAAGAATTAAATAGTCTATTATCCATAATAATACATGAATATCTGTTTTTCTTACTGCACATTATAATGTTTTGATGCCTAAATTCACAAATAGCATTTAAAATAATTTTTATCTCTAATTTGTTTAGACAGTATTGTATAGAATTTTATGTCAGCAATTTATTGCTTATAAGCCGTATTGATCAAATGAATAAGTGACAGTAAAGGCACTAGTATTGCAAAAGAATTCTATTGCTTAAATGCTGTTCTTTTGAACTTTCTATTCATCATAGAATCCTGAAAGAAATGTATCACCGTTTCCACATAAATATTAAGCAGTATGATTGTTTTCACTGATAATAAGAAGAAACACTGATAATAAGAAGAAATGTTTCTCCAGCACCAAATCAGCATATTAGAATGATTTCTGAAGGATCATGTGACACTGAAAGACTAGAGTAATGACTGCTGAAAATTAAGCTTTGCCATCACAGGAATAAATTACATTTTAAAATATATGAACATAGAAAACAGCTACTTTAAATTGTAATAATATTGCACAATATTTCCCTTTTTACTGTATTTTTGGCCAAATAAATATAGCATTGGTGAGTGTAAGTGACTTCTTTCTTGAAAACACATACAGTATATGCTAGGGTTGGGTGTTGTTTGAATTTTATCAGTTCCGATTCCGATTCTTATGGATTCCCAGTTTCGACTCCAATGTGGTTAAAAAAATGCAGTCAAACATTTAGATATCAAACATATTTATTCTGTCTCTATTTGCAATACATTTAGTTGCAGCTGAATACCATGAACAAAAATCAACAGGCTACGTAAAAACTGGACTTGATTAAGAGCTGTTTGTGTGCAAAATAGAGGTGCACAATTCTGGATAAATTTAGACTTTTTTTATTGGAGGTTGTGGTTCTCTTACGATTCTGAAGAAAATCACAACAAAATCAACGTAATTTATGAATGAATGATTCAATGACTCACTCAGGATTTACTTATTTCATTACTGGATGAATCTGTGTTTTTTAATGAATCTCTTGAATGAATGATTCGAAGACAAATATATTTTAACAGCCCCTTTTCTATGCCCACTGACATAACAACGTAATCGCTAAATCTTTATTTGAAGCGTCAAATTACTTTCAAAAGGTGATTTTATTATTCATTTTTATTTTAATTTTAATCGCTACAGAATGTTTTCTGTACATCAGAACTTTTCAAATTTTTAGCTCAGTACTTCTGTGATTATTTTAATGTTTGTTACACAGAAATAATGATACTGCGTGGTTGAAAAGACAGTTTGTGAAGCTTTTTCATACATACAGTGGGTACGGAAAGTATTCAGACCCCCTTAAATTTTTCACTCTTTGTTATATTGCAGCCATTTGCTAAAATCATTTAAGTTAATTTTTTTTTCCTCATTAATGTACACACAGCACCCCATATTGACAGAAAAACACAGAATTGTTGACATTTTTGCAAATTTATTAAAAAAGAAAAACTGAAAAATGCTCAGTATTTAGTAGAAGCACCCTTTTGATCTAATACAGCCATGAGTCTTTTTGGGAAAGATGCAACAAGTTATTCACACCTGGATTTGGGGATCCTCCGCCATTCCTCCTTGCAGATCCTCTCCAGTTCTGTCAGGTGGGATGGTAAACGTTGGTGGACAGCCATTTTTAGGTCTCTCCAGAGATGCTCAATTGAGTTTAAGTCAGGGCTCTGGCTGGGCCATCCAAGAACAGTCACAGAGTTGTTGTGAAGCCACTCCTTCGTTATTTTAGCTGTGTGCTTAGGGTCATTGTCTTGTTGGAAGGTAAACCTTAGTTCCAGTCTGAGGTCCTGAGCACTCTGGAGAAGGTTTTCGTCCAGGATATCCCTGTACTTGGCCGCATTCATCTTTCCCTCGATTGCAACCAGTCGTCCTGTCAATATGGGGTGCTGTGTGTACATTAATGAGGAAAAAAAATTAACTTAAATGATTTTAGCAAATGGCTGCAATATAACAAAGAGGGAAAAATTTAAGGGGGTCTGAATACTTTCCGTACCCACTGTATACATGACAGCTGCTCTCTTTAGGACAGCTGCAGCGCGGACGCAGATTTGAATGTTAAAATCACACAGGGATGAACAGAGATGATCACACCATTGTGATCGCACACGTCAAAGGTTTAAACGGCTGAATCATTTTCATTTAGGAATAAGATCCCATTCTGGAATTGGAATAGATTTTCGATTCCCAACCCTAATATATGCTTACACAAAATATAAGATACACAAAATATGCTTGTTACTGCATTATTGTAGTTTCTGAAGATTATAATGCGACTTATTTTAATGTGCTACTATAAATATTCAAAAATATTACTCTAATGGTTGCTGGTATAATATAATTAATTATACATTATAGTTTTGTGTTACCAGAAATTTTGGAAAGACATATTTTTAGTGTTATGTCAGCTAAATGATTGACAACAAAGTAAAAACATTATGATCCTTAAAAGGACTGCATTTGTTTGCGAAAAATTAAATATGGCATCTACCCTGATTAAGGTCAAGGGTTTTGCATATGCCTTTAACATACAAACTGCTTTTAACGTTGAATAGAAATGAAATATTAATTCACATTGGGCAAATGCTCAAAAACAAACAAACAAACAAACAAACAAAAAAATAAGACAAGAATAAATATAAGTATTGAACAAGAATAAGTATTGTAGAACTTCTGTGGTCAGTGCAACTGTGTATTTTTCAAAGAGAGAGATATAAAGAAAGAAGAGGGGAGGAAAGAACAGGAGGCAGAGGCTCATTGGTATTCAAAGTGGCTTTGCATTCACCTGCCAGGAACAGCAACCCCCTACCCACACTACCCTCAACAGATGGTCGCCAAACACACACATGTATATTCACACTCTCACTCACCACTGCTTGTGCAATCTCTGCGTATACACACACCTGTCACAAATAAATGCACACACCCATGCACTGGAATATGCTAAAGAAATAAATGTTTGCTCTGACAAAGTTTTGAATATATATATATATATATATAATAAATTCTGGTTAATTAATTGTATAGCTTGAATTTTTTAAAATAATTAAAATATATGCTTTTCTTTCTTTTGTGAATCCCTCTCTGTCGTAGAATCAGTGGTTAGCGCGCAGTCCCATGTTGCAGAGGAGGGTGTACCATGTGATGGCGGCAGTAAAAAGGCAGCTGTATGTGCTGGGGGGGAACGATCTGGACTACAACAATGACCGCATCCTGGTTAGACACATTGACTCTTATGACATAGACATGGACCAGTGGACACGCTGCACCTTCAGTCTTCTCACAGGTCACTAAACACTCACACACAGACACTCACACACACACACACGTTTACTTAGCTATCTAAATGGGGACATTCCATAGGCGTAATGGTTTTTATACTGTACAAACTGTATATTCTATCACCCTACACCTAAACCTACCCCTCACAGAAAACTTTCTGCATTTTTACAATTTAAAAAATACTTTGTTTACTTTATTTTTATACTAGTTTTACAAATGAGGATGTCCCCAAAGGGAGGTTTTTGGAGATTTTGTCAGGTTTAGCTCACTTTTGGGTACAAATTTGTCCCCAAAATATGGTTAAGTAGGTACACACACACACACACACACAAACTTCAACCAAGTAATAGATATGATTATTCAACTATTCTTGCAGAACACTGTTCACTTTCTCTTTAAAAGGTAGCAATTCTATATATTCTGTATTTGTTTTGAACCACTATATTGTATTCCTGCTACTGAACAGAAGTACTAAAGTGGTACCATGGTACAGTGATGGTTTCAGATAGATAATATGGTACTGAATGATTTATATACTCTGGTATTTACATGGTACTTTAAATAAATAGTTCACCCAAAAATGAAAATTTGCTGAAATCAAATCCAGGATGTAGGTGATGTTTGTTTCTTTGTTGGAACAGATTTGGAGAAATTTAGCATTACATCACTTGCTCATCAGTGGATCCTCTGCATTGAATGGGTGCTGTCAGAATGAGACTGAAAACAGCTGATCATCACAATAATCTGCAAGTAATTGACACGACTCTAGTCTGTCAATTAATGTCTTGTGAAGCGAAAGGCGTTTTTATCTTCAAACTGTTGCTTCAGGCTAAAATGCTAGTCCTTAATCTATTATATTTCTTTCTCCAGTCATCAAGCATTGCTTACAAGTGAAAATGTTCTAAACATTTGAAAAACAAAGTAAATATGTCAGGGGATTTTGATGTGAGAGGACAACAGGGGATGGACTTTCACTGGAGAAAGCATTATTATGAATTTTGGCCAGAAGCGACAGTTTAAAGTTAGAAATGCCTTAATGATGGATTTGTTTCTTACAAACATGAATTTTTCGCTTTACAAGACATTAATTGATGGACTGGAGTCATGTGAATTATTTGAGGATTATTGTGATGCTTTTATCAGCTGTTTGGACTCTCATTCTGACGGCACCCATTCACTGCATAGGTTCTTCTATCTGTGAGCAAGTGATGTAATGCTAAATTTCTCTAAATCTGCTGTCAGAATCTCTACAAACTCATCCACATCTTGGATGGCCTGAGGGTGAGTACATGTTCAACAAATTTTCATTTTTGGGTGAACTATTCCTTTAATGGTAGCACATTGTATACCATGTAGATCCCTAATTGTGCAATTTATATTTTTATACATTTTCATTGTGCAGCATGTTACCTTTTAAAGGGATAGTTCACCCCAAAATTTAAATTTGGTCATTAATTACTCACCCTCATGTCGTTTCAAACCCGTAAGACCTTCGTTCATCTTCGGAACACAAATTAAGATATTTTTGATGGAATCTGAGAGCTGTCTGACCCACCCATAGACAGCAACGCAACTGAAATGTTCCCAAGTCCAGAAACTTAGCAAGGAGATCTGTAAAATAATCCATGTGACATCAGTGGTTCATCCGCAATTATACGAAACTACGAGAATACTTTTTGTGCGCAAAAGAAAAATAAATAATGACTTTATTCAACAATTCATCTCCGCAGCATCACCCTATAGCGCCATTTTGGAGAATATCCGCTGGACGTAAACAGCGTATGCTGTTCTGTGTCAGCTGCGTCACGCCGGATCTGTTTCCTACGTTGTTGTGATTTGATCAGATGCAGAGGAGACGAATTGTTGAATAAAGTTTGGGTTTAGAAATGACATGAGGGTGAGTAATTAATGACAGAATTTTCATTTTTGGGTCAACTAACCCTTTAAACTTTTATTCTTCAATAACTACTGACATTTAATAGGAATGTGTGCAAGAAGTTTTTAGAAGCACAGACATTGGAGACAAATTACAGTCATCCAAAAAACACTGCAAAGATTCATACTTTTCAGGCAAAATGAAAGACAAAGTGGCTTTTCACTTCTCCACTGTTCCTGAAAGGGTTAATAGACCATGGTAATATTCTTTACATTATCCTCATAGGCCAAAATGAGGCAGGAGTGTCCGTCCATGATGACAGAATCTATGTGGTTGGTGGATATTCGATTTGGACAAATGAACCACTTGCCTGCATTCAGGTGAGTTGACTTGAGTGGTGCATATGTTTGAATGACATGTTGGATAATTAGTGTTGAGATGCCATCATTTGTCTGTTTGGCAGGTGCTAGATGTGAGCACCAAGGGGAAAGAGGAGGTTTTTTATGGGCCGACGCTCCCATTCGCTTCGAATGGAGTGGCGACGTGTTTCTTGCCTGCGCCATACTTCACCTGCCCCAACCTGCAGACCCTACAAGTGCCACATCACAGGATAGGAGCTCTCTAACCTCTCCGCTCTTAACTCATTGAGGACATTCCCCCAAACACACTATGAACCAATGAAATCATGCAAGAGCCTATTGTACTTCCACATATTGTGACTGGTGGATGAAATCATCTTTGATCATACGTTGATCTCATAGAGCCAGTGTTCTGATGGATGTGGAAACCTTCGAAAAGAAGTTGAGTTTTTTTATTGTCAAACTTCACTGACGTTCATGCATTTCTGAACTGGCTGTGCTGTGGTGCTGCATCGTGCTAGTACAGTTTAACAAGCAATGTGTAAATCTGTCAGAATGATTAAGAGCCACTTTATGGCCCAGTCCCAAATGGTGCACTTGATATGAGCCTGCAGTCCGTCAAGTCCACAGGATTGCAGGTTGTCCCATTTATCATTTTAACATAAAAAGGGTGTTCATACCTCACAGTGAACTTTTACTCAGCAATCCATGCAGAATTAAATCAAAGGAAATACACAAGAGCAGCATTTGGGACAGGGCTGAAGTGTTAAGCACCTGTTTTCATAGATTCTTAGGACTCCATCCACTCTCCATTCTGACTTTAATGTTCTGCCGCTTTTATCCACACATCAGTTGAAGTTCCTTTTCATTCCATGTCATTTCTCAGCCTGTGACAAACAGTACTTTTTATCAAAACTCAGGATGAAGACCGTACAATTGTTTACTGAACGTGTATGACCACAGCTGATGATAAATGCACACACAGCATCTTAACAATCTGCGTCAATGGCGGCATCTTGACTGTTCTCCATCCTACCACCAGAAACCCATTCCATAAGAAAACATGTAAGAGCACACTTTTTTACATAATGTCTCTAATAAATACAACATTTATGCAGTTGTACAATAATGATTGACATTTGTGAGTTCTTGAATCATTGATTCACTGGATACAAACAAAAGACGAGCAGCAGCTTTATTCCCAAACCTATTTTTTCAGGGTTTTCAATCTACCAGTGAATTTTTGAAAGTTTTCCAGTCATATGTGATTACTGGGTAAGGATGTTTGAAATGATTTTGTTTCAGACTGATAGAATGAGTCATTCAGAAGGATTTGTGTACCAATTTGACCAATTTATTGAGTTATGGGCAAGTTTCACTCTACACAAGCAATACTACATATATTTCTACATAGTTTAAAAAAAAATAATATATATATATATATAGTATACATATATTATAATATATTGTATACATGTATTACATATATTCTATATGACTATAATATTTTTCAATCTGCTTTATAATCTAAATTATTTCCCTTTTTTGTCAAATTTTCAAAATTATGGCTTTTCTATTTTATAGACTAGAATTTTAACAATTTTCATGACATTCCAGACCGGATATTTTCATTTTTTCTCCATGAATGTGGGAACCAGTAAGCAGGTAAAACAATCTCACAGACTCAGTGAGAAACTTGATAAAATGTGGCAAGGGAGATCAAATGTAGGTCCTACTAATTTTGTTCAATATTAACAAGTAACGAAAAAAGCTGGTTTTATAGGCCATGAAGAGCAAGGCAGCTCACTGAATTTAGGATCTAAGCTAATATGTCACCATATTATAACAATTACTCTATTAGGGGTGGTAACGTACCTCATCACTGTTAAACCGTATAAAACAGTTACTCTGATTAGCTCAGCGAATGAAAGATCGACGTGACGGATCTACGCGGCGACTGAGGTGAGAGACAGCGCGGCTCATTTGATGGCTCTGCTCTAATGAAGTGTGATCGATGCCTGTGCCACACGGGGCGAGGTGCGAGCGGCACGGCTGCAAGAGAAGACCGGGAGCTGAGATGGAAATGGAAGGAATGATTGGGATGGAGGAGAGGGGGAAAAAGAAGGGTAGGAGGTAGAGAGTGATGAGAGGCTCTAGGCAATTTGTGCCCAGAATTGCATGGAGATTGCAAACAGTATGAATAGTTAAAGGAAAGGTTTGGTGTGGAGGTAATTGAGGGAGCCATAGGTGTCATATTTGTTGTTTCATGACTGATTTTGATTGCTAGTCTGTGCAGTTGTCATAAAAGTGTTGCTTGATAGCAGTAGACCATATGACAATTTATTGTAGGTAGCCTCTTTCCAGATGTGATGGGTAAAAATATCGATTTTCCGATTAATCGCTATCTTTTGAGCTATCTCTGTGTTTTAAATATGAAAACCGCCAGTAGGTGTCGTCAAGTCACTACTGTGAGTCATGAATCATTTAATTCGTTCAAAAGGACTGCTTCATTTCATTCAGGAACCTCCAAGTGACCGACTGGATCATTTAATCATTTTCTCAACCAATTTGTTCAAACACGGATTTGTTCACAAACTAAATCCCAGCTAACAATTTTTGGTTCCCAGAACGTTAATCTAACGTTCCCGTAACGTTATTATAACGTTCCCCTAACGGTAGTTTTTGGTTCCCAGAACGTTATTCTAACATTCTCCTAACGTTAATCTAACGTTCCCATAACATTAGGCTATTATAACGTTCCCCTAACCTCTTTGATCACCCCGCTGTCAGAAATCATCCAGCACACTCGTGACCCAGTATAGTAGCGGCATCAGTATTATAAAAACCACATCTTGTTTTTATCTATTGTTTAAGTAATAATCTGAGCACCATCAACCATCCTGCGACGTTTTCATTGGAAAGATAATTTTACAGGGTTATAAAAATAACCTGAGAATAACCATAAGGGAACATTCTGTATAAGTTATTTTTAGATTATTTAAAATAACCACCCTGCAACGTTCTGGGAACGTTTTTTTATGGTTGCAAAAAAATAACCTAAAAAGAATGTTCCCCTAACGTTAGTATATGGTTCCCAAAAAAATAACCAAACGGGAACCAAAAACTAACGTTAGGGGAAGGTTCTGTGTTTGCTGGGATACCACTGTGTTTGCCCGAAGATGCCTTCTGCTATGGATTTGTTTTGAGCTATTTTCATTGGCGAAACAGAGCAAAAAGACAATTGTGTTTAAAATGTGAGTCATTTAAAGGCACAATATGTAAGATTTTTTAAAATTAAAATATCAAAAAACCACTAGAATAGTGTTATATATTTTGCTGACTTGTGTATTCACATTATCCCAAATGTTTCGAAGAATGTTTAAATCCAGAGAAATAAGCAATTTTAACTAGTCCATAGTGTCATTGTGTCGCCTGCCAATGATGTCATACACCCTCGATTAACGAAGGGATCTGTCACTATAAAAGGCAGAACGCTGCTTACAGAGGGTCCGTCTCGTTTGGCCCAGAGCCATAGAAAGAGAGAGTTGCGTCAACGGAAGTCCAAAACGCTCGATCGTTACGTGATTCACGTAGACCTCAAATAGTTCCAGGAAGTTCATAGCGGGCAATTGAAATACATTGAGTTGGAGAGACAGAACTGTGG